AACCCGCCACCTTAGGTGTATGTGGCTGGCACCTTAGCCACTTGAGCCACAGGCGCTGAGCCTGTTATTCCCTTTTAACAGATGGGAAAACTGAGCAGTGGAGAGAGGGCTGGGGGGGGATACTTACCCACATAGATAGTAAATGGAAAATTGGGACTTGGTCCCAACCCTGTTAAATGTCATAACCTGATTCTTTCCAGGATACTGTTACTAGTGGGAGAGATGGGCACAAATATGGAAAGAAATGTCTCATGCTTGCCACAATATGATAAATCTAGGCTGCTGTAGGAATAAACCTGGGCACACTGGGTGTTACAGGAGGGCTTCCTGGAGGAAGAGATCTTCTCTCCTTTGTTTTCCCATTGTCTGCCCTTGTCTTGTCTTTCCTTCACCTGAATCCCTGCAGGTCTGGGGCGGTCCAAGGAAGCAACAGCCCCTGCCCCTATTGGGCAACTGGTCCCTGGCAGCTTCCTGGCAGCTGTGGTAGATGCCTTGGAGCTGGGCCCCCCGGTTGTGATCAGTCCGTCGTTGAGTGGCATGTACTCCCTGCCCTTCCTCACGGCCCCTGGCTCCCAGCTCCGGGGCTATGTGCCTGTGGCCCCCATCTGCACTGATAAAATCAATGCTGCTGACTATGCCAGTGTGAAGGTATCCCTGTATGGGAAGCTGAGATGCCCCTGATGGGTGTCCATTTCTGGGCCTTCCTCATCTGGGGGGCTGGGTGATGGGTATCTTCTGAGAGGAGCTCACCACCAAGCTCCACCCTTGGGTTTACTTAATAGATTATTGTGCCAAACCCTGTGTTAAACTGTGTGTGGGGGCAGATACCAATCTAGGCCCATACCCACTGGGCCAGCTTGTCTCTCTCCCTCATTTGAGGTGGGCTCAGGGAGGGACTGAAGTGGTGGGGAGGGCTGGAGCTAGCCTCCAGGAGGATGGGGCGGGTGTGACCAATTGCTGTTGACTCTGTCCTCCTTTCCTTTCTCTCAGACTCCAGCTTTGATTGTATATGGAGACCAGGACCCCATGGGTCAAACCAGCTTTGAGCACCTAAAGCAGCTGCCTAACCACCGGGTGCTCATCGTGAAGGGGGCAGGGCACCCTTGTTACCTGGACAAACCTGAGGAGTGGCATGCAGGGCTGCTGGACTTCCTGCAGGAGCTAGCATGAGGCCCAGCCTTGCCGATGGGGGTGGGCTGCCTGCCTGCCTGCCTTTTTCTTTTTTCTTTTCTTTTTTTTTTTTTTTGAGACAGAACCTCAAGCTGTCACCCTGGGCAGAGTGCTGTGGCATCACAGCTCACAGCAACCTCAAACTCTTGGGCTTAAGTGATTCTCTTGCCTTAGCCTCCCAAGTAGCTGGGACTATAGGTGCCCGCCACAACGCCTGGGTATTTTCTGTTGCAGTTGTCATTGTTGTTTAGCAGGCCTAGGCCAGGTTCGAACCTGCCACCCTGGGTGTATGTGGCTGTCACCATAATCACCATGCTATAGGTGCTGAGCCAAGCCCAAGAACTTTTGAGGTTGCTGTGAGCTATGATGCCACAGCACTCTACTCAGGGCAGAGTGAGACTCTGTCTCAAAAATAAATAAATAAATAAAGGTAGGACATAGTGGCTCATGCCTATAATTCTAGCACTCTGGGAGGCCAAAGAAGGTTGATTGCTTGAGATCAGGAATTTGAGACAAGCCTAAGCAAGAGTGAGAACCCATCTCTAAAAAAGGAAAATAGCCAGGTGTGGTGGGTGTCTATTGTCTGAGCTACTTTTGAGGCTGAGGCAAGAAAGGACTGCTTAAGCCCAAGAGTTAGAGGTTGCTCTGAGCTATAATGCCATGGCACTCTACCGAGGGTGACAAAGTAATACTCCGTCTCAAAAAAAAAGGGAAGCCAAGCAGCCAGGGGAAGCTGTTCAAAGAGTCATAAACTCTGTTCCCACTGAAAAGGACTCCTCCTTTCAAATTTCTGAAGTTAGTAAAGAGTCCTCTCCTCTTCCTTCTAGGAGAAGGGAGGCCTTGGAGTTTTCCTGAGAACATATGAGGCCTTGACCAGATACAATTGTTCTTCCTCCACTGGAAGCTTCAAAGTTGTCAGGACCAGCCCACACTGGCCTTCCATGAGTTGAACCTTGGCTGCTCAGTGCTCCCAACAAACTTCTTTCTTCTAAAACATCCCCAGGTTCAGGAACTACCTCTTTATTTCATCCCTGTTTGAATCCCCCTTTTTTCCCATCCTGCCACCCTTTTCATTCAGTGCACGATGGCACCAGCCCTGCCACATGGCATATGCCCACAACAATCCTACTCAAGCAAATAAGGTGGTGATTTGGGGACATTTCCCACTGAAGATGACCAAGGACCTCACGTTCCCAGGTGCTCTGTGCTTTCCAGAAAGTCTTCGTGGCCACAGAACCTGCAAGGTTGATGGGCAGGAGCAAGCAGCCTCTTTGAGCAGACAAGGAGACTAAAGCTCAAAGACTTATACAGTTTGTCACAGTGGAAAGTTCCACGTGTAGAGAAAACACTGGTTCTGATAGGAAGTAGTTCACTATGTGTCGTGTTTTTATTCTAATGTATGTTGGTTCATAATTCAGTAAAAGAAAACAAACATCCACACACATGCATGCATGTGGAGGAGGCTAGAGGTGAGTTACCCATTTGGGGGGCTCCTCATTCAGTTCAAATATCTGCTACCACCCACCACTCCACGCCCTCACCAGAACACTGTCCCCAGCCTCCCAATTCCTCACCTTGGAACACAGAGTCCTTCTGTAGTGAGCACGGGCTTGGGAAGTTTTCCTGGCTTCATCCACACGGGCCACAGTGTTCCCTTTCCAGCGATGTAACACACCCCTGCAGATGCACAGGCAGGGTGAGGGCAGATGACACCGGGATGGAGAGAGATGGGGGACTCTGTGAGGCAGTCCCAAATCCTACCTAACCTCCAGTCAGGGACTCTCTAAGAACATCTGTTTCACTGACACCCATGTTTACACGAGCATCTACGTCCAGCCTGGCTGCTGATCAGCTGCTTCGGACCAGGCACTGAGTGAGCGCAAGGGACCCAGCAGTGCCTGAGACCAAACACCAGGTCCTCGGGAGTGGATGTGCTATGGGGACACAGGGTATAACAGGCAATGACAACACAGGTGATTAATACTGGGATAAGTGTGGAGATGGGAAGCCGAGGAAGGGCACCTGGGCCTGGGCAGTGGCGCCATTGTGTTAGCTCAGGGAGTCCTTCTTTCTAATTCCACTGTCTGAAAAGGTAGGTAGGTGCTCTATGAAACCTTAGAGGAAGGACGGAGGTCTTTAAAGTCCATGAGGTCCACTGCCTACAAGTCACCTGGAATTGCACGTGCTGAAGAACTACAAAGGAAGGGGAAAGGAAAGAAAAGAAACACAGGAGGCCTGCTGGGCAGAGGAAAGTTTAGAGCTTGGCCTGGAAGGAACAGAGGGAGATGTGTAGGGCCCTCCACAGGGGCGAGAGGTGCTGATGGTTGTATAGGGTCACAGACTAAAAGGAGCCTGCCTGGAATTCACAAGAAAGGAAGCTGCTACAGCCTCCAGAGTTGGAGAGGAGGTGCAAAGGTGCCTTAAGCAGCTAAATCTTGTAGGTATAAAGCAGGCAGGAAAAAGTGCTCAAAGAAGCAAGAAACATGGCCTTGTGACCAGCTGAGAGCTGCTTTCCAAAGCCCTGTCTATATACACCAGAGGTTTAAGACGGAGGTGAATCAGTGAATGCCAAGCCAAAAATCAAAAGATGAGCAGTATAAGGGACCCAGGCCTGTCCTCCACCTGGCCCTAAGCAGGAATCCCCTAAACGCCTGGGTCCTGGGAGACACCTGAGAGACTCACCGCAGCAGCTGCCTGTTGTGCTGGCTCTCCCTGGCTGCTACCTGCTGTAGGACATGCCGCACCTTGCCCTGGTAAGTCTGTGGGGAACAAGGAGGTCTGGAGGCCACACCAGGCCCACACTTCTCCCCATCCAGGTAAGCTTTGGAGGATAGGGGCTCCAAAGCACTATTCCAGGCAGGCTCCTTCGAGTCTGTGACCCTATAAAACCATCAGCACCTCCCACCTCTATAAATACATGCTTCATAGGGGTATTACGAGGGCCAAATGAGGCAAGTGCCTGATCATGGCAAACACCCAAGGAGGACAAGGGCTACCATGTCCAAAGCACTTGCAAAGGGCCGGGAAAGGCCAAAAGCCCCCCCAAATCCCAAGACCAGCAGACCCTCCTCCCCAACAGCAGAGAGAAGACTCTCACTAGGCCCTCACCTAATAAGCCAAACCACTGGAGTCCTGGCCAAGGAACTGTTTTTACTGTAAGGCTGGTACCCTTGACAGCACGTGTTTTCACGTTGCTGAGCAAGGATCGAAGGACCCTGTGGCCCACGGTGTAGAGCATTTGCTCTATTTGGGGCTTGTCTAATCGCTCTGTTTGGGGAGGGGTAGGAAGGACAAAGAAGGGAAAGAAAACCTCCCCTGCTCCTACAGCAAGGTCAGGATGAAGATGAGGCTCCTACCACCCAGGTCCGCAGCACCCTGTGCAGCAGGCGTTGCTGGTAATGCAGATCTGCTAGATGCAGCTTCCGCCGCTCCAGTCTACACAGGGCCAGGCACTGTGGACAGAGAAAGTAGCCACTCGTGGGCTGGGGGCTGAGGTGGGGTGGCATCCTACTTTGCCTCCATGTTATACTCCATCTGTGTGAGTGTAAGATACTTAAGCTGAACCTTGGTGTCCTCATCTATAAATACATGCTTCTTAGGGGTCTTACAAGGGCCCAATGAGGCAAGTGCCTGATTCATGGTAAATACCCAATTTAATATTCATGACATTTTTTATCCTCAATAAACAACAATCCTCAGTAGGACTGTTATAAATGAAGAATTTTAGATCCAGTAAGTTTGGAAAGAATCACCTAGCACCTGAAAGAACCAAATTTGAGCCAATCCTTTCACAAAGCCAAGTTAACGGTTCTCCATTAGTTTCCTGTTCTAGCTCAGAGGCAGAAGGTTTCCAAGGGATGGCTGAGTGGCCCATATGTCTGCTTTGAGTCATGCTGACATGCAGCCCTACCTGTCCAAAAGCCACTCCTGGATATGCCCACACCAAAGCCTTACCTCCCTCCACTGGTTCCAGGACCAACGCAGGAGCTGTGCTGAGTAGAATTCTGCCGCCTGCACCCTGCCCATCCTCCTGTGGGGAGACAGCAGGCTCAGCCCTGCAGCCTAGACCCTGTGAAGCTCCTTTCCCTGGGGTACCCTTTGTAATCCCTGGGCCCTACCTAGTTAAGTTTTGAGGAGTCAAAACCTTCTCTGAAGGACTTGGGGTCTCTCCCAGAAAGGTACACATGTCATCAAATTTTTGCCTGAACTTCACAGAGCCTCAAGTAAAATGGCAGTACACTCAGTGCAGGAATATAGAAGCCTCTGACTGGGGAGGAGGTTAACTGTGGCCAGAGTTCAAGACAGAGTGAGGTCTTCCGAATCAATAGTAGACACAAGAAAGATCCCAAAGCAGGACAGTCTGCAGTGGACACATGGGCTGTCTTCCCTGTCCCCTCTAATGATGACCTGGCCATAGCTGCTGGTCCCAGGGTGGTCAGCTATCCCAACATGGGCCTGTTGGTCTATTCCCTGGCCATGGTACCTATGAATGGGCCCCAATTAGTAAGCAGGATATAGTCGATGGACAAGATCTTTTAGGTCCCCAGAACACTTCTGTCCCACCCAAGTTCCCATGGCAGAGAACTCCACAGCATATCCCAAGATCCTGTCACTACAGTCTGGTTTTACTCAGACTCTTTCAGGTTTAATATCTAGAACTCAGAATCATATTCCCTGCTAATGCAACCCTCAGGACAGGTGCTTGGAGCTGATGGTGCTGCTAGTATAGTCAAAGCTGGCCTGGGCTGGAGAGCAATGGTGAGGCAGGAACTGGCCACTCACTCTGTTCTGAGCACTTGGGCAGTTTCCCTCCAGATGCAGAAAGCGCTCCTGAGCAGTCTGCGCTGGTGGTGGGCAAAGGCCATTGCTCGCCACTCGCACTCCTGGTGACGTGCTGCTGCCTGCTGGCACCACGTGGACCAGAACCTATGCAGAAGCTGCCGCTCTGCATGAAGGATGGCCTGAGGCAGACGGGAAGAGAAAACAGAAAAAGTCAAGGAGAAGGAGGGTGCAGAAGCCAGGAAAGGTGGTACAGGCAACAAATAAAGACCAAGGTCAAACAAATAAACACTCAGAAGGTGCTCTGGAATGGCAGCGATCTATAACTCCACTGATAAAGGACACAGACACCCCAGAGATGCCCCTGCCCCATGAGTTCCTGTGGGTTGTGCGTGACTTCCTGAGGAAGGAAAGCAGTGACTACAAAGGCTTGAAACAGCCCCGATCCTTCCCCAGCTTCCTCCGCAGGGACAGTCATGTACCATTCTCTCTGCCAAACGATTTTCTCGATGTAGAAACATCTTCTGCAACCAGATAGCAAATATTTGCTTCTCCAACGTCACCCTAAAGAAAAAAAGGGAAAAAAGATATGTAAAGCACTTAAAACAAAAAAAAGCCAACAGAATGAAAAGTTCCAAATAATTGTGTGTTTCCTTTTGTGCTGTGCCATTGTGTCAGGAGTGACCAAGCTTAGATGAGGGAGAAAGGAAAGAGAAAGGGAAAGGGAAAGAAAGTACCCATTAGGAAAAAAACAAAAACCCCAAACAAAAACCCCCAACATTTCCCAAGTTATTTCTGGTATCAACCAAGGTTTCATACAGTATAAAAAAGACTCAAACTCTGAGACACTGGTTCTTCATTCTTTCTATATCAAATTAACAGCACTGATCAAGGACTGTCTGTGTAAGCCTATCCAAACCATGCTGACCCAACCAGCCAGGCTGCTCTGACAATAATCCTTGTTTAAAAACAAGGCCTTGGTTTGCACCTGTAGCTCAAAGGAGTAGGGCACCGGCCCTATATACCAGAGGTTCAAACCCAGCCCCAGACAAAACCTGCAAAAAAAAAAAAAAAGCCGTCCCCTAAGGCTGACTGAACAATTCTAGGTGGGCCCAAGGAAGCAGAATTTTTAGCCAGTGTTCCAGATAAATTAGCTAGCCTTGAGAACCACTACTTTGTCATCTCTAGCCCTAGGCCTACCTGCTTACCATTAATGACATTAAATCCTGCAAAATCACCACTGGGACAACTGATCAACAGCTAACAAAGGCTACATAATGGGCGGCGCCTGGGGCTCAGTGAGTAGGGCGCCAGTCCCATATACCAAGGGTGGCAGGTTTGAAACTGGCCCTGGCCAAACTACAACAAAAAAATAGCCAGGCATTGTGGCGGGTGCCTGTAGTCCCAGCTACTCAGGAGGCTGAGGCAAGAGAATCACCTAAGCCTAAGAACTGTAGGTTGCTGTGAGCTGTGACATCGCAGCACTCTACGGAGGGTGACAAAGCAAGACTCTGTCTCTAAAAAAAAAAAAGGCTACATATTAGCAAAGCCATGAGGACCAAGGCTTAGTGCTGGAGGATCTTACTCCCCTGGCACATGACACATGAGACACATCA